TAACAGCAGCAGACAACATCTGGAAGCAGGCCTCTGGAGGAACAGGACCCCAGTGCCCCCAGGAGGGGCCTAGGGATCTCCCAGAATTGCAGCTCATCTCCAGAATGCAGAAATCAGTCCCCCTGGAGAAGTTAATTATGGCAGTGTGTGTAGTATAGCCAGGAGATCCTAAGATTGTCTGGCAGCCAGAAGTTCTCGCTCTTTTAGCGTTATGCACCACTAGGTGGTGAGATAGACTTGTTTTTAATGCAAGACAAGTTTTAGAGGTGGTTGGTCATTTCTTGCCTCTGCACCGCAGCCCTGGTATTCCTTGGAGGTCACCCATCCAAATACTAGCCAGGGCCGACCCTGCTTAGCTTTCGATGAGAAGGGGCCAGCTTGGGTTATCCAGGTACTGGAGAAAATTGATGCTATGGAGGGTGGACTTTATGGCATTGTACCCCACTGAGGTCCCTGTCCTTCCCAGGGTCCATCCCCAAATCTCCAGGAGTTTCCCAACCTGGAGCTGGCAGCCCTATACCCCTCAGCCCCCACCAGTGACATGGCAACCCAATACCCTGCATGCATCAACAAACCTCTAGCAGCATCAGTCCCAGACCTAGGGAAACTCATGCAGAGCATGACCCATAAGCTTGAGTTATGAACACTTCCCAATTCAATGTTTGGTTACTGAAGAATAAATGCTTCTGTTATGTGACATCCTTGGTTCCACGAAATAGCCGCCATGGCAAATTAAGACATAAGAACATGAGAACTTAAGAGAAGCCAATGTTGGATCAGGCCAATGGCCCATCGAGTCCAGCACTCTGTCCCACAGTGGCCAGAAATACCAGGTGCCATCAGGAGGTCCACTTCAGAGACAGCTCCTTACTGGGGAAAGGCTGTGTGAAATGGCAGCCCTGTACCAGTTTACTCCAAGATGGTACAATAATGGCTTTAAAAGGGTAATGTGAAATTCCCCTCTGTCACACAGTGCCCAAAAAATACCAGGTGCCATCAGGAGGTCCACCAGTGGGCCCCAGGACACTAGAAGCCCTCCCACTGTTGCCCCCCCCCAGCACCAAGAAGACAGAGCATCACTTGCCCCAGACTGAGAGTTCGTATCTATACCTTGTGGCTAATAGCCACTGATGGACCTCTGCCCCATATGTTTATCCAATTCCCTCTTGAAACCGTCCATGCTTGTAGCCGCCGCCACCTCCTGTGGCAGTGAATTCCATGTATTAATCACTCTTTGGGTGAAGAAGTACTTCCTTTTATCCGTTCTAACCCGACTGCTCAGCAATTTTATTGAGTGCCCACGAGTTCTTGTATTGTGTATCGCTTTTGTTACCTCCCCAGTACCGGTTCTTTTTGTTAGCTGGTACTTAATAGCTATCACCTCCTATGACCATGCAAATTGCTCTCTTTTTTAATTTAAAGAAAACATAAATGCTGTGGTTTGAAAGAAAATGAAACTATATAATAACTATATCACCTTCTCTGACCATGCAAATTGGTCTTTTTGTAATGAAAGGAAACATAAATACTTTGATTTGAAAGAAAATGAAACTATATTGAGCCGTATGTGGATTTATATCGAAGGGCTCTGTCTTAACTTGTCTCCACATAGAAGAGCTTCGTTTGAGAACAGGGCAAAATGAGAATTTAGATCAGGAAGATGGGTGCTTACTCCTGGAGCCCATGTTCGGTGCCACAGTTCACGCCTAAAAGATAGAAGTGAATATCAATGCAAAATGTATTATTAAAAGAGATTATGGGTCTGTTGTTGAAAGCTTTCATGGCCGGAGTTCATTAGTTGTTGTAGATTTTCTGGACTGTATGGCCATGGTCTTGGCATTGTAGGACCTGACATTTTGCCAGCAGCTGTGACTGGCATCCTCAGAGGTATAACACAGAAAGATGGAGTACTCTCTGTGTCAAGGTGAGAAGAAAAATGGTAGGCAGGTAATTTATATCTACTCAGGAAGGTAGGGTAGGGCTGAGTCATTATCTTGTAGGAGTTCCCCAGGCCGTGACATGCTAATGGAGGAGCTTTCCTGAGGAGGTTCTTTTGTATATGGATTGGCTGCCGAAATATGCAAAAAGAAGAAGAAGAAGAGATTGGATTTATACCCCACCCTTCACTACCCAAAGGTGTGTCAGAGCGGCTTACAAACTCCTTTCCCTTCCCCTCCCCACAACAGACACCTGGTGAGGTAGGTGGGGCTGAGAGAGCTCTTGACAGAAACTGCTCTTTTTCAAGAACAGCTGTGCCAGAGCTACAGCTTGCCCAAGGTCATCCAGCCAGGTGCAAGTGGAGGAGTGGGGAATCAAACCCGGTTCTCCCAGATTAGAGTCCGCGCACTTAACCACTACACCAAACTGGCAAAAGAATCTCCTCAGGAAAGCTCCTCCATTAACATGTCATGGCCTGGGGAACTCCTACAAGATAATCTCAGTCCTACCCCACCTTCCTGAGTAGATATAAATTACCTGCCTACCAGTTTTCTTCTCATTCTTCTCACCTTGACAAAGAGAGTACTCCATCTTTCTGTGTTATACCTCTGAGGAGGCCAGCCACAGCTGCTGGCGAAACATCAGGTCCTACAATGACAAGACCACGGCCATACAGCCTGGAAAAATCTACAAAAACTAGATTATGGGTATTTTCACATGAAGGTTCTCCTACAGTTTGGGTGCTGCTGACCTGCCGATATTTTTTCATGAAGCTTCCTCACATCCTCATTTTCCATTTGTTGCCTTTCCGTATTTTTCTGGTTGTTTCCCCATGCTTTCTCAAACCACCTTTGATGCGATTTAAGAAGGCAGAGAGCAGGGGACCCCAACGTGGGGCCTGTGGGTGCCAACAGTGTGCACTGACACCTCTCCTAGTGCCCGCTGAAAATGGGCAGGGCCAAGTGGGTCTTTCTCCCAGCAAGTTTTCTGACTGGTTGTTTGAGATTTGATTGGCAGATTTTTTAAAAACATGGTTTCAGTAGCCGCTGCCACCACAACACACGATCATCATTGTGTGACAGCCATTTAAGATTTATCGATCGGCCTACAGGAGCAACTCCTTTAAAAATGGCATCTCTAAATTAACATGGAATGCGGCTACAAGCATGGGCAGCTTCAAGAGGGAACTGGATAAGCATATGGAGCAGAGACCCATCAGTAGCTATTAGCCACAAGGTATAGATAGGGACTCTCAGTCTGGGACAAGTGATGCTCTGTCTTCTTGGTGCTTGGGGGGGGGGGTAACAGTGAGAGGGCTTCTAGTGTCCTGGGCCCCACTGCTGGACCTCCTGATGACACCTGGTATTTTTTGGGCACTGTGTGACAGAGGGGAATTTCACATTACCCTTTTAAACCCATTATTCTACCATCTTGGAGTAAACCGGTACAGGGCTGCCATTTCACACAGCCTTTCCCCGGTAAGGAGCCGTCTCTGAAGTGATTTGGCATTTCAGACTGCGCCGCTTTGTTTTCCTGCCCTTTTTCGCCCGTGTGGTATAGCGCTCAAAAACGAACTTAAAAAAAAAAGGACAGAGATTGCCCGCACGGGCGAAAAAGGGCAGGAAAACAAAGCGGCACAGAAGGAAGAGCTATGGGGCATTTTACACAGCACCCCATCGCGCTTCAGAAACGGTATAGAAAGGTGAAGACCGCTTGGAAGCAGTTTGCAGGTAAAGCGGTTCAGAAACGCTCCCCTAACGGGACAAAAGCATTTCTGTCTGAAAGTGAAAATATATTTTGGTAGGGAACCGTTACTAAAACGGTTCTGTCTGAAATGTCAGACCAGAAACTGTTAGGGAACAGTTCCTGAACCGGAATATATCGGCTGTCTGAAATTCCCCAGAGTGTTGGACTGGATGGGCCATCGGCCTGATCTAACATTGGCTTCTCTTGTGTTCTTAAATTGATCTTGAGGGTCTACTGTATATTTCGCTGTGCTCACTAAATGATGTACTTGTTTGTTTTAATTTCAAGCCCCCAAACTGCTGAAGAAAATCCAAGCAGAGTTGTTCCCCGATTTCTCTGGAAATATCAAATTATGCTGTCAGTTTGTTGAAATTCATGAAGACGCAACTATTACGTGGACTAAAGACTCTCAGCTACTTGCTCGAGTGCAGAGAAGGTAAGGAGAATAAATGTGAGAAACTTATTTTATTTATTTATCTGTTTGCCAACAGGTTCGATTTGTCATCCAACAACATGCCTGAAGGAAAAGAAGGGCAGAGATTATAGGAGAGACAATATATTTTGCAATGTTTTTTAAAAGGGGGGTGTGTCATATATTCTGTGATCATTTTTAAAAAGGACGAAAATTTTATGTATTCTGCATTCAGAAGTCTCAGAGTGATGCGAATGAAGTCTTAAGATGGCAAATAATCCTGAAGGCAGCCGAAGAAGATTCTTAGATGATGGGTGCTTTCAATTGCCCTCAGATTTACAGAGCTCGTAATAATTAAGTTTCTGATCCTCAGAAATGTCTTGTTCCAACTCCTCCCCTGAATATATTAGGGCTGGGTTGTAGGCCACCTTAAAGAAGAAGAGTAGGTTTTTATATCCCCCTTTTCTCCACCTTAAGGAGTCTCAAAGTGCCGTATCAACTCTCTCATTCCTTTCATCTCCCCACAGCAGGCAAAGTGTGAGGTAGGTGGGGCTGAGAAAGTTCTGAGAGGTCTGTGACTGGCCCAAGGTCACCCAGCAGGATTCATGTGGAGGAGGAGTGGGGAATCAAACCCAGGTCCCGGTCACATGGGCCGGAAAATGCAGGGGGGGAGCGTGGCTGTTAGCCCCGGAGCAAAGTAACGCGCGGCAGCCCGACCACATGTCCCGTTGAGGTCCCGTGGTTAGGCCGTTAATTGCCGATCACACGGCTATCCTGCAGCGCGGCAAAGAAGCGGCGTGGCGCGATCACACCAGCAATCGCTAGGTGCCGCTTCCGTGGCAAACGGGATTTTTTTTCCCTTGCAGAAGTTTGCGCAAGCGCATGCTCGTTTGTGCGCATCCTGTGGAGACTTACAAAAAAACCCACATCCGGTTTGCGATGGGACATGGGCGGGTGCCGGATAACACAGGATTCACGTGGAAATGCAATCAGACGCCCGCATTTTCCGGAAACTAGTACCTTGTATGCGGTAGTTTTTTACTCCGCATCTTTGGCAAGAAGCCACAGGTTAGCCACGGGTGCGCTACGCCTCCCAGATGTTCCGGTGTGATCATGCCTGGAAAATCCACAGGACGATTGTGCCTTCAGCGCAGCAGATGCTCCGTGTGAATGGGGCCCCAGTTCTCCATATTAGAGTCCACCACTCTTAAACACTACATCACATTGGCTAAAAGGAAGAGTGCCAGGAATACATAGAAACACATGAAGCTTTTGTACAAAACAGGGTGTGGGGTTGTTGTTTTTTGGTTAAATCTGTACATTTTTTAAAAAGTGTATTTTTTAAAATACTGTTCTTTTAGGAGGGCACCTGTACAACACAAAAAAACAAGAAAAGTAAAATCTCTTTACAAATGGAAAATATAGAATTTAAAATACTGTTTTGGCACTTAAAAAAGGTTAGTTTTAGAGCTGGCTTAAAAAAAAAATTCTTAAATCCCAGAAGTAGATATTTGCATGAAGGGGTATTATCCGCATCCTGAAATTCTCCTGACTTGCTGGAAGAGAAGTTGAATGGAGCCTGAGGCATGGCAAAATCAGCTAATCCCTGCCAATTTGGGGGCTTTCAATTCAGCTGTTTGTGGATTGAGGGTACTTCACTCTATCATCAGTTTGTGTTGTGAAGGAAATAATTTACAAATAAGAGTTCTTTCGGCAGAGCCACTAAACACATGGAATTCACTGCCACAGGAAGTGGTGGCGGCTACAAGCATGGACGGCTTCAAAAGGGAATTAGATAAGCATATGGAGCAGAGGTCCATCAGTGGCTATTAGCCACAAAGTATAGATAGGGGCTCTGGGGCAAGTGATGCTCTGTCATCTTGGTGCTTGGGGGGGTCAACAGTGGGAGGGCTTCTAATGTCCTGGCCCCACTGGTGGACCTCCTGATGGCACCTGGTATTTCTGGACATTGTGTGACACAGAGCGTTGGACTGGATGGGCCTTTGGCCTGATCCAACATTGGCGTCTCTTATGTTCTTATGTTCTTAACAACAAATAAATCGGAAATAGGCGTGTTAACAGATAAAAGAACATGACATTGAGATATGAGCCCTCTGCATTCCATTCCATTCACACAAATTGGTAGCCTACCAGCTATACATATTGGGAACATGCAAGGGCCCACAATGCACTCTGATTCGTGGACTTGTCTGGAGGTTTACCTGGTCCTCCCTGACGACTGGTGGAGTGGGCAGGATGAGTTGCCAGATCCGGGTTGGAGAGTTCCTGGAGATTTGGGGGTGGAGCCTGGGGAGGACAGGGACCTCCGTGGGGTACAATGCCATAGAGTCCACCCTCCAAAATATCCATTTTCTCCAGGGAAACTGAAATCAGTAGCCTGGAGATGAGCTGTAATTCCAGGGTATCCTCAGATCCCATCTGGAGGCTAGCATCCCTCTTGCCATCTCATGTGAATTGGGCAATATGTTGATTTTACGTGTGTGCACAGTTTCCAGTTGCATGAACTAGACATGTGGAAAATCAGGGTTCGGGCTCATGTGAATGGAACCTGAATGGGCGCAGAAAATCCATGCAATGCTTGATTCACATGAGGAGGCAACCACACGACTAGCAGACTCCTGGTTCGCGTGAGCAGGATGGGTCGTGTATCATCTGCAGGGGGCTGTATTCTTTCCAATGCTTCATAGATCTTTTCAAATGCAAACTTCTCTTCTAGTGCAGGAGATGATTTTCCTGTATCCTTGGCAATAGTTCAAGCTGGTAAGAAAGATCAAGGACTGTATTGCTGCTGCTTGAAGAATAGGTATGGAAAGGCCACTACGGATTTCAACCTGACCTTAGAAGGTAATGGCTAATGTCTTGTGTCTTTACTGCAAAGAGCTACTGAAGGTGCCTTGTTGTTGACTGAATCATTACCATATTGCTTTCCATCTCTTTGCAGTCCTGGAACATCTTTCAAGTTTTCAAGATGTTGAAGGTAAGCCCTTTCGGTATTTCCCAGGGTGAATTGTGCAAAGTCATAATCACACCAAAAGAAGCCATTAAAAGTGAGCCATTAAAGACACAACACCAAAAGAAGCCATTAAAAGCGAGCCATTAAAGACACGCCATTAAAACAAGTCTTGCCACAGGACAGCCCTCTGGCTTAGAAACAGACCGTGAAACGACTTTTTAAAAGATGGAATATCTCAGTGAAAAGAAACGTTTTGGCCCCGAGAATCAGGTAGACACCAGGTGACCTTCAAAGGAGAGAATGTTTCAAAGATAAGGTGCTACCACTGGAAAAGCCCTGCCTTTGGTTGTAGGTGGGGACAGACATTTCCACCGCTTTTACGAACTTTTCAGGGTTCACCATGACTTAGATCCAGACTTTGCCCGCTCGGAGCTCCGACCCCAACCCTGAGCATGAGGCCGAAGAGGCCGGCCGGCCGGGGGGGAGTTGGCCTTAAATACCCGCCTGCCTCCACCCCCAGTGTCGATGACAAGATGCTGGCATCACACATCACTGCCTCTCTTTCTGGGGTAGGCAAATCAGCCCCCACCGGCAAGCACCATAAGGTTCCATGGGCGGGTGGAAACCTTGTTTTATGGTGTCAGTCCTGAAACACGTAAGAACATAAGAGAAGCCGATGTTGGATCAGGCCAATGGCCCATCCAGTCCAACACTCTGTATCACACAGTGGCCAGAAATACTGGGTGCCATCAGGAGGTCCAGCAGTGGGGCCAGGACACTAGGAGCCCTCCCACTGTTGCCCCCCCCAAGCACCATGAAGTGGTATAAAGAAGAGATGGTATATTCAAACATGTGTAGAGTGTCTTTCTGTCACTACTGAGCAACCTTATTTGAAGGGAACTTCATAGAATTATAAAATCATAGAATAATAAAATCACAGAGTTGGAAGGGACCATTGAGGCCATCTACTCCAACCCCCCGCTCAATGCAGGACCAGCCTAGAGCATCCCTGACAAGTGTTTGTCCAGCCGCTGCTTAAAGACTGCCTGGGAGAGGGAGCTCACCACCTCCCAAGGCAGCTGATTCCACTGTTGAACCACTCTTACTCTAAAAAACTTTCTCCTAAGATCCAGCCGGTACTTTCTCGCCCTTCATTTAGACCCATTATTGTGGTTCCAACTTCCCACTTCTGCTGCCAACAGGAACCACTCCATGCCCTCCTCTAAGTGACAGCCCTTCATATACTTCAAGAGAGCTATCATGCCCCCCCTCCACCTCCTCTTTTCCAGACTGGACATTCCCAGGTCCCTCAGCCTTTCCTCATAGGGCTTGGTCTCCAGGCCCCCGATCATCCTCGTCGCTCTCCTCTGCACCTGCTCCATTCTGTCCACCTCCTTTTTGAAGTAAGGCCTCCAGAACGGCACGTGGTACCCCTGATTCCCCATAGGAAAAACTCATGGCTCTTGGCCGTTTGATTCACAGCAGACAAAATTCCATTTGCATTGAAGGGGGTTCCCATCACGGACTCAGATGAGAAGAAAAGAAATATAACCGAAGCCTGCTTTGAGGCATATGTTCCCAACACTTGACTAGGCAGCCTTTGACCAGGCTTGTGTCATAACATGATCCAGCAAGAACGACAAGGAATTCAGATGCCAGATGTTTCCCACCACCCATGAGTGTTGGCCTGACTTTATTAATAACCATAGCACGCAATTAAGCGTAGATAATGTTTTGCCAGAAGGTTTTGGCAGACGTCTTGTGGTCTGGTTCACCCAGTCGACCGGGTGGTCTGATTTGTTTTGACTCACGAAGAAGCAGAATTACTCACTCTATTCCCATTAGAGCAGGTGCACATTTTTTTTTCATCCATTCACCAAGATTGCCAATTTATATGCCCTTGCTAGTCAGACTTGATGCGCGGATGGGATGGTGGAAGAAGGCTGCGGTCACACACACTAAACAATCCACTTCCGATCGACTTTCAGTGCACTTTCCAACTGGATTTTACGGTGTGAACTGGCAAAATCCAGTTGGAAGCTGCATTGAAAGTGGATTGAAAGTGGGTTATTTAGTGTGTGTGACCGCAGCCGAAGAGGAGTTGTTCAGCGGGCCTGAGAGGTGATGCTGAAATAGTACGGGACTCCAGTAACAACAGAGAAAATGTGTTTGTCATTGAAAGGCGGGTGTTTGAAATATAACAGCCCCGAGGCAGATTAAAAAGATTTTCACTTTCCCTGACCTGGATAGGCCAGGCAAGCCTGATCTCATCAGATCTCGGAAGCTAAGCAGGGCTGACCCCAGCAAGTATTTGGGTGGGAGACCTCCAGAGAATCCCAGGGCCGGGAGGCCAGAGGCAGCCTGTCAAGACACTTCTCTGAATGTCCTCCGTGCCCCAGTAGGAGGCGCCAGAGGTCACCATGACTTCCAGGTACGGGCACACACACACACGCACACACACACAAAATGCAAAAATACCAAAAAAAAAGAGGATTTTCACTTAAACTATGGCTATAACAAATCTGAGAACTTTTGGAAAGACTGATCAGTATTGTTGATTAGTGTTAGTAATTAGAACTGATTGGTATTATAAAACAAACAGCAGGACCCTGTGGCTCACTGAACCCTTTTAGAATATACTGCTATCCGGCTGTCCTCGACCAGGGCCTTTTCGGTCCTGGCCCCAACCCGGTGGAACTCTCAGCCAAATACCACCAGGGCCCTGCAGGACCTTATGCAATTCCGCAGGGCCCGTAAGGCAGAGATGTTCCGCCAGGCCTTTGGCTGAGGGCAGCAACGGTTTCCATCATAGCCGGCACCCTTCCTGCCCCAGCTGCTTCCCACACCTGTTGGGATATGGCCAACAGTCTGCAATGGGATAAATTAATATTCACCATCTTTTGTTTGAAATACCTTATTCATGTTTTAATTGTTTTATTCTGATGTTTTTATGGATGATGTGCATCGCCCAGAGCCCTGCACTGCAGGGATTGGACGATTAACAAATTTAGTTTAGTGTAGTGCTTAAGTGCGCAGGCTCTAATCTGGGAGAACCGGGTTGGATTCCCCCACTCCTCCACTTGCAGTTGCTAGATGACCTTGGGCAAGCCATAGTTCTGTCAGAGCTGTCCTTTTTTTTTTTGTAAACAAATTTTATTTTCTCAGGAATACAACATATAAAACATTTCATTCTATCAATTGTCTACCCCATTCCCAGTTCCTCCCCCCCCTC